TTTTATTTTATTCATGGTGGTTGGGATATACACGTGTAGTGATAGTCACATACAGTTGCAAGAAAAAATATGTGAACCCCTTGGGATTACGTGGAGTTTTGCATGAATTGGGCATAAAATGTGCTCTGAACGTCATCTAAGTCACAACAATAGAAGAACACAGTCTTCTGAAGATAATACTACACAAACATTAGATGTTGCCATGGTTTAATTGCACATAACATGTAAACATTCACAGTGCAGGGAGGAAAAAGTATGTGAAGCCCTAGCTTAATGACTTCTCCCAGAGCTAATTGGAGCCAGGAGTGAGCCAACCTTGACTCCAATCAGTGTGATGCTATTGGATGTGTTGCTGACAGCTGTCCTGCCCTTAAAAAAACGCACACCTGTTTTGAGTTTACTGGTTTCAAGAAGCACTGTCTGATGTGAACCATGCCTCGCAGAAAAGAGCTCTCAGAAGACCTACGATCAAGAATTGTTGACTTGCATGAAGCTGGAAAGGGTTACAAAAGTATCTCCAAAAGCCTTGATGTTCATGTGTCCACAGTAAGACAGACTGTCTACAAATGGAGAAAGTTTAGCACTGTTGCTACTCTCCCTCCCTGGGCGTGGTCATCCTGTAAAAATGACTGCAAGAGCACAGCGCAGAATGCTGCATGAGGTAAAGAAGAATCCCAGAGTGTCAGCTAAAGACCTACAGAAATCTCTGGCACATGCTAATATTTTTGTTGACACATCTACAATAAGGAAAACATTAAACAAGAATGGAGTACATGGGAGGACACCACGGAGGAAGCCATTGCTGTCCAAAAAGAATATTGCAGCATGTTTGAAGTTTGCAAAAGAGCACCTGGATGTTCCACAGCACTACTGGCAAAATATACTGTGGACAGATGAAACCAAGATTGAGTTGTTTGGGAAGAACACACAACACTATGTGTGGAGAAAAAAAAGGCACAGCACACCAACACCAAAACCTCATCTCCACTGTAAAACGGCGGAGGGAGCATCATGGTTTGGGGCTGCTTTGCTGCCTCAGGGCCTGGACGGATTGTTGTCATTGATGGGAAAATGAATTCCAGAGTTTATCAAGACATTTTGCAGGACAACGTATGACCATCTGTCTGCCAACTGAAGCTCCGCAGAGGATGGGTGTTGCAACAGGACAATGACCCAAAGCATACAAGTAATCAACAACAAAACAATGGCTGCAACAGCACAGAATGGAGTGGCCCAGTCAGAGTCCTGACCTCAACCCGATTGAAATGCTGTGGCATGACCTTAAGAGAGTGATTCACACCAGACATCCCAAGAATATTGCTACACTGAAACAGTTTTGTGAAGAGGAGTGGTCCAAAATTTCTCCAGATCGTTGTGCAGGTCTGATCTGCAACTACAGGAAACGTTTGGTTGAGGTTATTGCTGCCAAAGGAGGGTCAACCAGTTATTAAGTCCAAAGGTTCACATACTTTTTCGTCCCTGCACTGTGAATGTTTACATGTTATGTGCAATTCTTCTTTACCTCATGCAGCATTCTGCGCTGTGCTCTTGCAGTCATTTTTACAGGATGACCACGCCTAGGGAGAGTAGCAACAGTGCTAAACTTTCTAAACTTTCTCCATTTGTAGACAGTCTGTCTTACCGTGGACACATGAACATCAAGGCTTTTGGAGATACTTTTGTAACCCTTTCCAGCTTCATGCAAGTCAACAATTCTTGATCGTAGGTCTTCTGAGAGCTCTTTTCTGCGAGGCATGGTTCACATCAGACAGTGCTTCTTGAAACCAGTAAACCCAAAACAGGTGTGTGTTTTTTAAGGGCAGGACAGCTGTCAGCAACACACCCAATATCATCACACTGATTGGAGTCAAGGTTGGCTCACTCCTGGCTCCAATTAGCTCTGGGAGAAGTCATTAAGCTAGGGCCTCGCATACTTTTTCCTCCCTGCACTGTGAATGTTTACATGTTATGTGCAATTAAACCATGGCAACATCTAATGTTTGTGTAGTATTATGTTCAGCAGACTGTGTTCTTCTATTGTTGTGACTTAGATGACGTTCATAGCACATTTTATTCCCAATTCATGCAAAACTCCACGTAATCCCAAGGGTTCACATACTTTTTCTTGCAACTGTACTTCATGTGAGTTGCATTCTAGTGTGAAGGATTTATGATTTCAATGCATACTTCACTATATTAATCTTTTTTTCCTTTTTGGGAGTAAATTTTGGATGAATAGGATATCTAGGTTAACCGTTTTGGAAGAAACACATCTATGTATTGTTGCAAGAAACCCCATCTCCATTAAGGGTAAGAGTAAATATCAAGGAAGGTGGATGGTTATCGGTATCACGTGGTAAAGAGATTTTGGAACTTTTTCTACTTGCAAAGTAAGCACAATAATGTATTATAAATCTATATAAGTTTTGGAACATACTACACAGTATGCAATTTTTTTTTCTTATTGCTATGTCACATGGGAGTATGCGCAATGTATGCAATGGAGATAAAGAGTAGGAGAAGTCATTTGTTAATATACAAGGCTTTATTGCATCAAGTGTCTGGTGAAAGCATAAGGAGACTATTATTACATGCATATGGACTTTTAATAAAGGTCTTTTGCATAAATAATTAAAAACATATGGCTACTAACTATCATAAGATGAGAATGTGAATGCTTGGTGCAACATGAGGATCAGTCAGAATGTAGGCCTTTCTGTTAAAATGCAGCATTTTCAAATCTGAGTAACTTAGTAACTGCTGCCAATTTATACATATTGTTTATTAATTACATTTAGTAGTGCTGTCTTTTTCTAAGCAGCTATGTTTCCATTAAAAAGTTTTAGCACCCAAAAATGGTAAAAAAAAAATAGATGTACCATTAGCTGCACATTAAATATTAAAAATCAATGAGAGTTCATAACGCTCTTTTATTAGTAATTCCCCCAAAATTTCAAGAATTATGTTTCATTTGGGCTCACATTGCAAAAAACATTGTTTATTATACAGCATGTTTATCCTGTTCCAAGCCTACAAATGGCTGTAATAAACGTCAACTAACTTTGTAATGTCTGTGATGAAACCATCATTAACTATGCTGTGCCATTACATAGACCGCAAGAGAATCGTACATCATCAGTAAAGTCTGTGATAATTAGTGCTTAACATCTGGCACATTAATATTTCATTGCTTAGTTAGTTACAAGTTATTATCTTTTACGGTTCTTGTAATTTATAGCAGAGTCATCTGTAATTGTACGAAAAGTTATAAGTGCCTGTGGAAACCGGAATCTGGGAAGAGATACATGTATGTGAAAGTGCAGTAAATTATATGCCTATCAATCCATTGCACTCTGTTACTTTATGTTTTCTCTTAGTATTGGCAGATAGACAGCACGAATGGCTGGCAAAGACTGAATGGTAAAGGTCACATGACAAACTCTTGGTCTTCTTTATCCTTCTGAAGAAAGTACTAAATGTAATATGTTGTTTGGTTCAATTGTGTCAATTGCTTGTACAAAAAGGTTTATTTCACTCTTAAAGGGAACCATTTACTAATGAGCATCAATAATCATCTGGATGTCTTTGCCGGTTATAATAGTGCAGCCTTAATTTTTAATTGTTTGTAATATATTTTTATTAATTAATTTAATTGATGTTCATTTATTATTGATAGTGGAGCGCAACACCACGGGGTTCTTTGACTTCATTTTTAGGATTTACTCAATTTGTGTTTACTTAATTGTATTATCTCTCTGTCAGAGCAGAAGTGTCAAGCTGTGAGGCCATACTGAAAACTATAGACTTTCTTAATTTATATTGATGCCCTCCTACTGTAGACTGGACAGAATACAAGCTATCAGCACTGAGCTCAAGTGGGAGAAAGATCAGCTGCCATTAGATCCTTATAGTCTGATACTGGTCTGACATTTCTGCTTTAAATGCTTCCCCGCTGCCTTATAGAACAAATACTGCTACAGGGTGGCAGGGCTGTGCAAAATCATGTATATATTCGTGATTTTGTATTTCCGGATAGAGGGTAAGGCGTGCCCTACCCACGCCGCCATTGACTGCTATAGATCTCAATCACTGGGTCCTAGCTGGAGATTGCCCCCTAGCACTCGGCGATCAACAACTATCACTGACGGGGGAGAGGTCTGTATGTAAACAATACAGATGTCTCCCCTGTTAGCACCAGCATGCTGCTTTGTATTGCTCTCCACAGCAGAGCAATACAAAACAGCATGCCTCCATAGTAATATACACACAGCACACAGTAAAATACACACAGTTAACCCTTTGATTGTCCCAGATGTTAACCCCTTCCTGCCCAGTGTCATTAGTACAGTGTTAGTGCTTTTTATTAGCACTGATCACGGTATTAGTGTCACTGGGAATGTCAGTAGCAGTTGGTCAGTCCCCCCCCCCATGTCAGAATGCCTGCCACAGTCCCGCTATAAGTCGCTAATAGCTGCCATTACTAGTATTATAAAAAAAAAATCCAGTATATATACTGCAATTTGTAGATGCTATAACTTTCACGTAAACCAATTAATTTACACATATTGGGATTTTTTTTAGCAAAGACATGTAGAATACATTTTGGCCTAAATTTATGAGGAAACTTGATTTTTTTTTTATTTATACTGGATATGTTTTATAGCAAAAAGTAAAAAATATTGTTTTTTTTTTATTTATAGCCCAAAAAATAATAAACACAGAGGCGATCGAATACCACCGAAAGAAAGCTCCACTGGTGGGGAAAAAGGACATCAATTTCATGTGGGGGCAGCATTGCATGACTGCGCAATTATCAGTTAAAGTAACGCAGCACCGTATCGCAACAAAAATGGCCTGGTCAGGAAGGGGGGTAAATCCTCTGGAGGCCAAGTGCTTAATGGGGAAAGTATACAGCTAAAATATCAGCACACACAGCATCCCAAGAGGCATTATTTTAAGAATGTTACAATTGCTCCTTCCAGGTTATTTTTAAAGTGTTACTAAAGCCCACAACAGTAAAATCAGTCTGTATATGCAGTAAAGCATGCTTGTTATACTCACTGTAGAACCTAAGGGTTACTCCTCTGTATTGTGTAAAAAGGCTGTTTGATCCTGACTTCTCTGATCCTCACCTTCTTCCAGTGTCCCCCTCTTATCTTCTGATAAGATATATCGTGTGGAGTCACTCTGCACATGCTCAGTTTGGTGTGCATTGCTAGAGAGTTTTTTTTCTTGAGAGAGTGCATGTGATCAGCACAGGGCCAATCAGCACTGTCCAGACAGAGGGTCAGGGGATCTGCATCCTCCTAGAGCAAAATAAAAACTCCTCTTAAAAGCTTTAACCAGTGCTCTGCTGGACACTGATAGAAGTCACAGGACTGCTCTAACTGCTGATGAGAAAAGGTATTTAGCAGTTTATATTTACTAAACCATTTGCACTTCCATGTTCTGTGTACTGTGGGAGACCAGATATAGTGAATGCAGGGTCCTGGGTTTAGGAACACTTTAAAGATAACCTAGCATCTGATAAATGTATCAAATGCATACATACTAAGTACTGTATAAATGTAATACTTAAAAGTATTTATACTCTCTCGAGCAGGGTAATGTGTGATAGTGCCTCACAACAAAACCATTTAGGCCCCTTACTATTGTAATGTCACTCTAGTGATACAGAATACTAATTGTTTCATAGCAATCATATAGAGGCATTCAGAACTATACATTCATTTCACTTATCCAAATGCATTTGTCAAATGTTACCTGCGAAAACCACAGTGAAGTCTACCAAACCTGTTGTGGGTTGTCTTTTATTTGTCTTTTATTTCCGTAAATTTGCTGTTATACCACACAGATCAGTCCAAGGTGAATGACGCTTATTATCACTCACCCAGAAGGCTGAGGACTCTACTCATAAAAGTACCCTTCGTTTATGGTATACTTGTGCAGAGATCAGTGCTGACATCATCACGCCAGAGTGTCACTCTATGCATTAGAAAGGACCCCCTCAACCAGGAAAACAGGCTAAGACCCTGTGTTGTGATGTGACTAGCCTAAACATGTCTGAAAAGGAAAGTATGGAATAAAAAGTATGAAATACATGCTGGAGGACCTTCAGGGGATGAAGGTATGGTCGTGGAGGGACGGGAGCATAAAGATATTCCTGCTTTAACCACTTGCCTACAGGACACTTATACCCCCTTCCTGCCCAGGCAATTTTCAGCTTTCAGCACGGTAATACAAAACTGTACCCATATGACATTTTTATACTTTTTTTGAGACAGCTAGAGCTTTCTTTTGGTGGTATTTAATCACCACTGGATTTTTTATTTTTTGCTAAACTGACCAGAAACAACTGAAAATTTTGAAAAAAACTTTTTTTCTTAGTTTTTGTCATAAAATTTTGTAAATAAGTGATTTTTTCTCCTTCACTGATGTGCACGAATGGGGCTGCAGTGATGGGCACTGATGAGGAGGCACTGATAGGTGGCACTGATGGGCATTGACAGGCATCACCGATGGGCACTGAGAGGCAGCACTCATATATGGCACTGATAGGCGGCACTGATAAGTGGCACTGACTGGCACTGATAAGTGGCACTGACTGGCACTGTTAGGTAGCACTGATAGGCAGCACTGACGGGCACTGATAGGCGGCACTGATGCACACTGATAGGTGGCACTGACTGGCACTGAGAGGTGGCACGGATTGACAGGTCTGATAGGTGGCACTGACAGGCATTCATGGATGGCAATGACTGGCACTGATAGGTGGCACTGAAAGGCAGCTCAAATAGGCACTGATATGTGGCATTGATGTGGCACTGATGGGCACTGACAGGTGGCACTGCTGGGGCAACACTGATCATCAGGGCACACTGATCTTCAGTGCCCTAATGATCAGTGTACATGTCCCCTCTGAGGAATGCCGATTACCGGCTCTCCTCTCCTCACGAGCTGTCAGCATGACAGCTCGTGAGGAGAGAAATGCCGATAACCGACATTTCCTATTTACATGAGATCAGCTGTGATTGGACACAGCTGATCACATGACCGAGCCAATGTCTTCGGCTCTTTTCGTTGATCGGTTATCTGCTGTGTCTGAGGGACACAGTGCACCACCGATTGCCGCGCTGCATGCCCCCAGAGCCGCGCACGGTGCGGTGTTAGAGTGGGAGAGTATCATATGATGTCCTCCCAAAACGAGAGAACCACCTTGCACATGTTATTTCCTTATATGGCGGGCAGGAGGCGGTTAAAGTAAACATGTCATAATAGAAATTTGTACACCGCTGTTGTTGACCTCCTTTTTAACCACTTCTCAACCGCCCTATAACAGAACTACTGCTACAGGATGGCAGGGCTGCGCAAAATCATGTATATATATATATATATATATATATATGACTTTGTATGCCAAGGTAGGGGGCGCACGCATTGCATTACCCACGCTGCCATTGGCAGCTACAGCTGTCAATCACTGGATCCTGGCTGGAGATTCCCCGCCGGGACCTGAAGATTGCCAAGGAACACTGACAGGTGAGAGGTCTGTATGTAAACAATACAGATCTCTCCCCTGTCAGCACCAGCATGCTGCTTTGTATTGCTCTGCGTAACAGCGCAATACAAAGAGGAATGCTTACACAGTAAAACACACACAGGCCACATAGTAAAACAGCTCACAGTTAACCCTTTGATTGCCCCAGATGTTAACACCTTCCTGCCTAGTGTCATTAGTACAGTGTCAGTGCTATTTATTAGTATTAATACATTTTGGTCTAAATTCATGATGAAATTTGATTTTCTAAATTTTTTTACTGGATAAGTTTTATAGCAAAAAGTAAAAAATATTTATTTTGTAGGCTTCTTTTGTTTGTAGTATAAAAAATAATTCAGTGGTGATCAAATACCCCTGAAAGAGAGCTCCATTTGTGGGAAAAAAAGGACATAAATTTCATTTGGTTGCAGCGTTGCGTTGCCACAAAATTGTCAGTTAAAGTAACACAGCGCCGTATCACAAATAATGGGGAAGTAAATCCTCTGGAGGGCAAGTGGTTAAATTGCTATTTGCCTGGTTGGCAGACTTTTCTTCAAGATTCAGTATTTTACAATCAATGGCACAGAATACGTACCGTTTGTAGAACAGAAGGCCTGACTTCACTATAGAAGTGCTTCCTTCTGCTCTGCTCCTTAGACAGAAATATGTAGGGCTAGAAACTTACTGTGCAATTGTATGTCCAAAGATGCAAAAAAAAAAAAAAATAAAACCGTTTTCATCATGGTAAGCATTTGTTGCAGGGTGTATTGCCCAAGACAGAGGCATGTGAGAACAAACCAGAAATGGTATAAAAATAATACTTAGATATATTTTAATTATTCCAAAATGTCAACAATATTTTCAGACTGTAAACACTAGCATATCAAACACTATGAAAACTTTAGTAATTAACTAAAGATCTCATATTATACTAAAATGGAGATGCACTGTAATGCAGAAGTGTGAGTATTAAATAACTATGCAATGAAGTCCCTTAGTAACAGTGCTTGTAAATTCCACTTTATAAGTATTCTTCAAAGCTAAGCAAAAAGAGGCCATCAAATTATAACTTATGTAAGTCTGTGACGGATTTATCAAAGTAGGTTATTACCTTTGTCACCTTATTTGCAATTTGCAAGTAATGATCACAGATTCTTTTCACATAAATCCAGATGATGCATTCTGAAATGTTTAGTATGTCCATCAAAAATAAAGGCAAATAAAGGTAAATAGTAATTATTTCCCAGCCATACTTGGCTACACAACACACCCTGGCTACACATCACATATCTGTAGCGCTACCCCCGAAGGAGCAGCTTGATAATTTCGGGTTCCCTGTTCTACACCTTGGCTCCAAGAACAATCTCAGCCCCTCTGACACACCTGGTTGTAGATATAGAAAAAAAAAACACACCTGTTTAGTGATAATCAAGGATATATTGTGAGAAGTCAAGATAGATGACACTTTAAAACACCCTTAACCCCTTGACGCTGATCACACGCCAACATGCGGCCTCTCGGCATCTGGGCCTTGACGCAGAGCGGCCGCATATTTGTGTGCAGTTAGAAAATGCATATGTGTGCTGAGAGCTTGCACCCCGTGCGCTCCCAGCACATATCTCCGTGACTCATGGAAAGGTCCCGATCTCCCCTTTCGATCTGGACCTTTTCCGATCATATGACCGCCGTGACTGTGAATCACAGTGGTCACATGATTCTAAAACCCCGCCCGCCTCCCGGCTTCTGAAATTCTTAAAGGGCCGGGAGGCGCCGGCGGGAAGAGGTTAAACCTTAATGGAGATTATCAATGCAATAGAAAAAACAACCTTCAATATTCAGCAACTGTAAGTGTAAGAATAGACTGTAAACTATATAGTATGTGTCTATTACTATTACCAATAGCACAGGTGCTGAGAGGGAGAGAAGGAGATTTGTTCATTCTTCAACTCCCTCTGGACCAAAAGATACTACCAAGAGATTAACAAACTGAATTAGGCAGATACAGTAATCCCACTCTTGTAAAGGATCTGAATATATATATATATATATATATATATATATACAGTGCCTTGAAAAAGTATTCATACCCCTTGCAATGTTCCACATTTTGTGTCATGTTACAACCAAAAAAATGTAAATGTATGATATTGGGATTTTATGTGATAGACTAACACAAAGTGGCACTTAATTGTGAAGTGGAAGGAAAATGATAAACGGTTTTCAAAATATTTTTACAAATGAACATCTGAAAAGTGTGGTGTGTATTTGTATTCAGCCGTCCCTGAGTCAATACTTTGTAGAACCACCTTTCGCTGCAATTACAGCTGCAAGTCTTTTTGGGTATGTCTCTTCCAGCTTTGCACATCTAGAGAGTGAAAGTTTCGCTCCTTCTTCTTTGCAAAATAGCTCAAGCTCTGTCAGATTGGATGGAGAGCATCTGTGAACAGCAATTTTCAAGTCTTGCCACAGATTCTCAATTGGATTTAGGTCTGGACTTTGACTGGGCTATTCTAACACATTAATATGCTTTGATCTAAACCATTCCATTGTAGCTCTGGCTGTATGTTTAGGGTTGTTGTCCTGCTGGAAGGTGAACCTCTACCCCAGTCTCACGTCTTTTGCAGACTCTAACAGGTTTTCATCTAAGATTGCCCTGTATTTGGCTCCATCCATCTTCCCATCAACTCTGACCAGCTTCCCTGTCCTTGCTGAAGAAAAGCATCCCCACAACATAATGCTGCCACCACCATGTTTCACGGTGGGGATGGTGAGTTCATTTTGATGTGCAGTGTTAGTTTTCTGCTACACATAGCATTTTGCTTTTAGGCCAAAAAGTTCAATTTGGTCTCATCTGACCAGAGCACCTTCTTCCATATGTTTGCTGTGTCCCCCACATGGCTTCTCGCAAACTGAAAATGGGACTTCTTATGGCTTTCTTTCAACAATAGCTTTCTTCTTGCCACTCTTCCATAAAGGCCAGATTTGTGGAGTACACAACTAATAGTTGTCCTGTGGACAGATTCTACCACCTGAGCTGTGGATCTCTGCAGCTCCTCCAGAGTTACCAGAGTTGGCTGCTTCTCTGATTAATGATCTCTTAGCCCGGCCTGTCAGTTTAGGTGGAGAGCCATGTCTTGGTAGGTTTGCAGTTGTGCCATACTCTTTCTATTTTCGAATGATGGATTGAACAGTGCTCAGTGAGATGTTCAAAGCTTGGAATATTTTTTTTTTTATAACCTAACCCTGCTTTACACTTCTCTGCAACTTTATCCCTGACCAGTCTGGTGTGTTCCTTGGCCTTCATGATGCTGTTTGTTCACTAATGTTCTCAACAAACCTCTCAGGGCTTCACTGAACAGCTGTATTTATACTGAGCTTAAATTACACACAGGTGGACTCTGTTTACTAATTAGGTGATTTCTGAAGGCATTAGGTTCCACTAGATTTTAGTTATGGGTATCAGAGTAAAGGGGTCTGAAATGTTTACTGGTAAGCCTAGAAATGCCCATAACTGCTGTATGGCCAATACTACAAATACAAAGATAAGCAGCTGTGATACTAATGCTCCACGAGCACGTATTATGCTTATTTATCTTAAATCCCATAAGGTCTCATGATCATTAGAAATGATTAATTAAAGAACCCAATGCCTGGCATTGACAAATTATTTTCCTATACATATCACTGAATTTATTATAGAATAAGATCTTATTAGATACAGTATTGTTAACAGGATAAATTAGAATAATCAGAGATGATTTCTTTTATATTTCAGAACTAAATTGCTGGTGTTGATGTGGCTTAACATATCATCAGATAATATTTCGATTAATTAAAGTATGCAAATATATATATATAAAGCAAACAAAGAAAAGAAAATAGGGACTTGACTATAGCACATAAGGTCCAAACATAAAGATACTGATGCCCTCCCAGAACTGGCCGGCCGAAGTGAAGCCATCATTCGGCTATCTGCGGTCAGCAAGTGGCTAAAGCATACTTTGCGGGTACAAGAACTGTGTCATGTGTGTGCTGTGCATGCAGTGAGTAGTGAGTAGGCAGGTTTTATTTAACCATATCCTTTTAAGCTGTGGTGTGAATGACATACAACATACAGTATTTACTCTCTTATGGTGCCCAAAGGTGCCCCAGGTCTTTTGCAATCCTAGCAATGCCCCTGCTGTAATGAGCTGACAATGCTGTACTGAAACCTCAAACAATATTAGATTCTTTTTGTGAACTACAAGCTGTTTTGTAGTACTGACATACAGGGGCGGACTGACAACTCATGGGGCCCCCGGGCAATAGGGGATCATGGGGCCCCTGTGTCCTCACCCACACTCAAACCACACCCAGAAAAGCCTATGAAAGGTACCAGGGGCATCTCATGGGGCCTCCTACTGACCCCGGGCTCTCGAGTTCCCAAATGGTCAGTCCGCCCTTGCTGACATACTTCCTTGTCTTAAGGAGACAACACTGCTTCTCCATACACCAAGTATTGTTCTCCAAAACAGTATTCTTCCAAAGTCACCTATAACATTTTTATTACCCTATTTTTTTGTTAATTACCTGGTGATTTTGCCAGTTCCCATTGGTTGCTGTTTCAAAGAGAGCACACTAAGCACAGAAGCAGATCTGTTCTAGCATGGTCAGTTTCCTCCTAAGTCACTTTCCTCTCCTGAGTTTAGAGCTACAGGATGCCATGTCAATGCATGGCATGTCTATAGCCCCATAGTCAGCTTCAGCTACCACACCCCCCTCCAGCACTTCATACTTTTATTGAGAGTGGCCAGAGATGTGGTGTGCAGACTCCATCTAGTCCTCCAAGATGTGGGAGAGGACTGGGAGCCTCCCTCTGACGTCATTGCACTGTTGGCCATCTTGGAAGAAGTTTTATTTAATGCTTTTTTACTATTCTACAGCTTGTAAGTAGAATTTCTATTTGCGCAAATAAAGGCTTGTCAAACTTATTGCAATATGAGAGGCATGTCTTTTCTTTCATGATACTAACTTGGCATCGTATTGGAGTTCACATCCTGGCATGAGAGGCTTGGGAGGAATTTGATCCTGGCATGACATGGAAATCTGGATGACACCTTATATTGCTATGCTGGTAAAGACCCCCTAAAAGGGGTCTTCGCTTCTGGTAAGCCTCCATTTATTCACAACGTGGTGGTGCACATATTGGCGAACAATTGGATGGAATAGGATTCACAGCATTCATATTACATTCGCAGAATTGGAGAACGGCTTCACTATTGATTGTGGAGCATTGTATTTACATGGACGTTACTGTTTTCTGCATTAACATATGTCACTATTTATTTGGGGTTTTTTTTTCACTGATTTGAATACTTTACATAGACATGAGGGATTTCACAATGAATATCTGTGATAAGTTTAGTTTGTAAAATTGTTATACAGAGCGCAATATTTTATTTATTAATGTTTATGTGAAAAGAGGATATCCTCTTTAATATTTGCAGCTTTGTATAGTTAAAGAACTGGGAATGTGCGCAGTTTGACTTGTTTATATCTATATTAAAAATAAGCAGCTTGAATCTTGTTACCAATAATAGATTGCAGTTTATTAAATTCTATTGAGAACACCAAGAGATATTATGACCAAACAGATTATAAAGCACTGGTTTACAATGGGCTCTACTGAACTGGCAAAGCGTAATGTCACGAAAGATTTAGAGGAGCCCACAAAGAGGTTCTCATATGAACATTAATAAGAAGATTATTAACAAGAACATTAGTTATTGCCTATACCAATCAATACGCATTCAAATGTAATTTCTGCAATGAAAATGAAATAAAGATTTTTATTATTTGTTACAGGTAACATGGTTTTTTTTAACAGCACACTTTTAATACATAAGCACCAACATGTCTACTACTATGTTGGATAAGTGAAACGTGTAAGTTATTCTTCATCTTCTTCCCATAGTCATCACAGCACCATCCACTTGGCCAATCTTCTTATTTCTATTTTTATTGCCTTAGTTGTCCTGGAAATTTTGGGTTTGGGTACAGTATATCATAAAAGAGCAGGAAAAATCCCTCCACTAAGTAGTATCTTGTAGTATCTTTCACCTCTGCCACAGGCTAGTGCAAATTTGGAAAGTTAGACAATCAACTACCTTTAAGTATCTCCGGCCCCTTTGGCAGGCCAGTAGTGGACCTTTAAGCAAGGACTGGCAATTTGTAGTTGGAATTTACTGAGCAGAACTTCAGCTCCAGTTCACTTTCTCAGACAATGTGTCTGAATGGCATGAACTGGACATCTCTGGAGCTATACTCCCCCCCCCCCCCAGGCAGCAGGCCTGGATGGCAAGGGCTTCTGCATTCAACCTCCAAACGGCAGAGATGGGGGGGCAAAGGATCCTTCACACACATCCTTCCCCAGCCCACATTGCTGGCATAAATTCCTGGGGGACTGGCCAGGGTGAAATAGGTATTCATAAATCAAAACACTGTATACTTTGCTCTACAGCTTAAGAGAGGGTCCCTACCAGGGGTGGACTGACAACTCATGGGGCCCCCAGGCAATAGGGGATCATGGGGCCCCTGTGTCCTTGCCCAAACTCAAAAAAGCCTATGAAAAAGGTACCAGGGGCATCTCATGGGGCCCCCTACTGACTCCGGGCCCTCGGGCAGTGCCCGAGTTTCCAAATGGTCAGTCTGCTCCTGGTCCCTACTTAGGACATTTGTTCAGAAAAAGCGTAACATCCAGACTTTCAGTATTATTTATTAGGTCTCGCTATAGAGGCAGGGGTGATTCTTGCATTTTTATCTGTTTTATAGTATATGTCAGAGATGCAGGTGTGACCAGAAGTGTGTGGACTGACACAGGGAAACGCAAGCTTCAGATATGGTATAAATAAGACGCTTTATTAAAGACTAACAATACAAACATAAACGCAGTGCACCAAACCCCAAGCTAACACAAATACATACAACAAGGTGAAACAAACCCAAACCTAAACTGATACAGATACCCAGGTACATACACATGTAGAGCACAACGTAGTTAGGCAGGCCGGGTCGATAACTATCGGGCAGGTAGGTACAGGAGGAGCAGGCGGAGAGAATGGTCAGGGTCACAAGCCAGGGATCAAAACAGGAGAAGTCAGCAGAGGTCAGGATCAGGCAGGGTCGGCAACAAGTCAGGCAGGAACAGGAACGCAGGTTACAAGATACAGGGGCCCATGGAAAAACACACACCAAGGAACAGACTGCAGGTCTGGCCATCCCTTAAATACACCTGCAATCAGCCCCAGGTGATGGCTAATTGCCGAAGTGAACCTCTGGTTGTTGAGAGCACCCGCTGGCCAGCCCTGGTACTGCAGCCCACAAGGGAGGTGAGTCCCACCACTATTGGCAAGTCCATTCCTGACAGTACCCCCCCCCTCAAGGAGCGGCCTCAGGACGCTCCAAACAGTCCTAGCTGGGCAAAATGTTCCACCGCCCGGGTCCGGTGACTGGCGGGATATCAAAGACTGGCACATCGGGCTGGGCACCGGATGGAGGCACTTCGGGCTGGGCACCGGACAGAGGCACGTCGGGCTGGGCACCGGACGGAGGCACATCAGGCTGGACGACGGATCACGGTGGAACAGCGGGCACCGGGCCACCAGGCGGAGCAGCAGGCACCGGGCCCCCAGGCAGGGTGGCAGGCACCGGGCCCCCAGGCAGGGCAGCGGGCACCGGGCCACCAGGCGGAGCAGTGGGCACCGGGCCCCCAGGCAGGACGGCGGGCACCGGGCCACCAGGCGGAGCAGCAGGCACCAGGCAACCAGGCAGGGCGGCAGGCACCGGGTCCCCAGGTGGAGCGGCGGGCACCGGGCCACCAGGCAGGGCAGCAGGCACCGGGCCACCAGGCAGGGCAGCAGGCACCGGGCCACCAGGCACCACAGCGGGCACCGGGTCATCAGACATTGGATCGTCTTGCTCAACCGCGGGCACCAGGTCATCTGGCTCAACAGCGGGCATCGGGTCACCAGGCACGACAGCGGGCATCGGGTCACTAGGCATCAGGTCATCTGGCTCGACAGCGGGCACCGAGTCATCTGGCAAGGCAGTGGGCACCGAGTCACCAGGCGTGACAGCTGGCTCTGAGTCAACTGGCACGACAGCGGGCATCGGGTCACCAGGTATGACAGCGGGCACTGGGTCATCAGGCATTGGATCGTCTGGCAAGACCGCGGGCACCGAGTCATCTGGCAAGACCGCGGGCCCCGAGTCATCTGGCAAGACCGCGGGCCCCGAGTCATCTGGCAAGACCGCGGGCCCCGAGTCAACTGGTGGAACAGCGGGCACCGAGTCATCTGGCAAGACTGCGGGCACCGAGTCGTCTGGCAAGACTGCAGGCACCGAGTCAACTGGTGGAACAGCGGGCATCGAGTCACCTGGCAAGACTGCGGGCATCGAGTCGTCTGGCAAGACTGCGGGCACCGAGTCATCTGGCAAGTCTGCGGGCACCGAGTAAACTGGCGGAACAGCGGGCATCGAGTCGTCCGGCAAGACTGCGGGCACCGAGTCAACTGGCGGAACAACGGGCATCGAGTCGTCTGGCAAGACTGCGGGCACCGAGTCAACTGGCGGAACAGCGGGCATCGAGTCGTCTGGCAAGACTGCGGGCACCGAGTCGTCTGGCAAGACTGCGGGCACCGAGTAAACTGGCAGAACAGCGGGCATCGAGTCGTCTGGCAAGACTGCGGGCACCGAGTCGTCTGGCAAGACTGCGGGCACCGAGTTGTCTGACAAGACTGCAGGCACCAAGTAAACTGGTGGAACAGCGGCATCGAGTCGTCTGGCAAGACTGCGGGCATCGAGTCGTCTGGCAAGACTGCAGGCACCGAGTCGTCTGGCTAGACTGCGGACTCCGTGTCGTCTGGCAAGACCGCGGGCTCCGAGTCATCTGGCAAGACAGCAGGCACCGAGTCATCTGGCAAGACCGCGGGCACCGAGTCATCTGGCGGAACAGCGGGCATCGAGTCGTCTGGCATAATAGGATCATCAGGCTGGATCAGTTCATCAGGCTGGGTAGAAACATCATGCTGGGTAGAGACATCAGGCTGAATGGAGACATCATGCTGGGTAGAGGCATCAGGCTGGGTAAAGACATCAGGCTGGGTAGAGACATCAGGCTGAATTGTGGGCGCCGAGGCACCAGGCTGCACCACGGAAGGCAGGTTCTCAGATGGGAGGCTGACCGGTTTGGATACTGGCAGGATGGTATTGGTTGGAAAGAACTTTCGCCTTTTCCTGGTTTTAGTTACCGGAGCACTGTAAGTAAGCGCAGGTTTGTAAACGGATGGAGCAGCTGGAGACAGAGAAGAGCTGGAGGATGGAACAGAGGAGGG